CCTGAATCCCTCGCCCCAGAATGCGAATAGCGAATGCTGAAAATTGCGTGAGGTCACAAGGTCTGACATTTGCTTTAGGGCGCATTGGATTTTCCGCACCAGTGCGTTACGTACAGATAGTGTGAAGAGCACAGCAAAATTTTGCTGCACTGGTTTGTGGGACGAAAGCACCCTTCCGGAGTAAATCCGTGAACGACAATCATTTGCGCTACTTCATAACTAACAGTAACGCAAGCACTATACGTGGTAAAATATGAAAGCATCATGAAATCTAAAAGGCAGCAGTAAACACTAACTGATTTCAACAGCTGAGTCTCCCTCTGTGACGTGCTCTCCCCTTGCTCTTTTCCTGTTCGCTTTCTCTTGCACTCGATGAATGAAAGAAATCCATTCCGGAATTAAAAGTGAGAATGTTGCATCGATCACAGAAGCTGCAAAATTGAAAATAAATTTATGAACATTCACAGGACACTTCAAGATGAAAAAAGGAAAACCATAAGAAAAAAACTAAATTATAATCGAATCAAGAGGTCAATAGAATGTAAAGGGTGGGAAAACGGTAACCACGAGCACGCACGGTCAAATCCATTTTTTTCCAAATCTAACGGTTTTCCTCCTCTTTTTTGCGCATAGTGTGGTAGAGAATGCCTGCTCCTTATTGAAGACAAATATCGTAACATATTTTGGCCAACCCTGTACATAAGAATTTTTCCAACAAGGAACTATTTCGAAGAAAGATCTGTTCAACAAGTCTTTTGTTCTCATTCACGATGAACGAAAATCACAAAAGAGAATAATTTCTATTTTCTAGGAAATGAATGTTGCTCAGAAAACTCGACTATGTCTGGCCCCCCTCGCTTTATAAGCCAATGAGAAAATACGACGAGAATATCAAAGGTGACTCCTAAGCTATCGTAGATAAAAAAAAGCAAGTTAAGGAAACGAAGATTAACGTAGTAGTATAAATTATGTGGTAAAACTAACGCTCATCGGTGAAAATAACTCCTCGAAGCAAGTCCATACGCTGCTGTTCCGACATAAATGTGAGTGGAAGACGAGCTAGTTGTCGTATGGCAGCTACACGAACCTATGGTACTTGTTTTGGCCACTTCATAGAAAAAAATGCAAACGTGTAAGAAGGAAAAGAAGAAAGATCTGTACTACCTTGCTGTTCGAATCGGAAGAAGCAAGCTCAATAAGATAGTCAGTGTGCGAAGGTGTTACGACATGAAGCGCAAATACAGCTGTTAATCGACAATCTGCAGCAACATCGCGCAGTCCCATCAGGATCACTATAAATGTGCTTTGACTAAGATAACATGTAAACAAATAATCTCACCGGAATCGTTGTTATAAACAACCCGCAATGTTTGGCAGGAGAGAACTAAACGCCATTCTTTCAAAACATCTTAAGACTATGCTAGTTTTGAGCGTTTGATGTTTCGCAAAAGTTGAAACGCGGATTGCTACTTCTAGAGCAGTCCATCTAGAAGCGCGATGGCCGTAATTTTTTCACACCTCTTACCCTTTCGGTACCCTGTGTGTCAATTGCCACCACCAAATTCAAACGCTTACATTGCCGCTGAAACAGCATGGTTTTTTTAATCCTGCTAGAGGTTGCTTCAGTCAACCTTCCCCTTCCTAATTATGAGCTAAACCTGCCATTTCATTGTGTGTTGCTGTTAGTATTACAAGTATTTGTGTACAAGTGCAACAATGAATGGGCGCTGACCCCCGCAACCGGCCAAGTAAGTGTGACTTTTTCTTAAAATACTTGAAGTAGATCCATTCCTAAATCAAAATTATGGGTTATAATGTTATGCAAGATTATAAACTTTTTCGGCATAACTATGAAATTTCGAATTGTTTCGACATAAGCTTAAAAACTAAGAAGGTGGCCAATTTTCAAAGCTTCTTAGTTTCTTTGTTTGTGATCGAATAGCTTCCAAATTTCGCCATAATGATACCTATATGCTCACAAGTAATAAACAATAGCTAGAAGAAAAATTTCTCCACGGGGAAAAATTCAGGTCCGAAAGGGTTAAAAAATGCACACTACCCTAACCTACACAACGGGTGTTTGGTAGTTTTTGGAGGATTCATAGACGTTGTCCCATCATGACTATGGATCAAATTCACTATGAAACCCGGAAGCGAGGTGGGTTCCAGAGTTCTTGTACCAAAAGTGGATCCTTACGCAAGCTAATCGTAAGCAATGGAGCCACTCTACGTACATCAAAAAAATAACATAAACAATCCCTACCGTGACGCTCGTCTCTCAGTATCCTTCGGGGAAACACCCGCCGATAAAAGGAAGAAACAAACATAACTTCAGGCAATGTCATTTCTGATAAAGAGTACAATAATTAAATGTAAAGTCTGCTGAAACTACGGAACTAGGTTGGACCCCCACCTTAAGAGTGACAAATTTTAATCGACCCCACAGTGCCGGAGAACGCGACAGCATTGGATGGCTGGAAACACCAAGCCAAAGCTTACTATCTTTGAAAAAATGAGTATCTTAAACATGCGAGACCTCAATATTTATTGCAACAGCCTACTTGTTTTGATACATTAATTGACAAATTTACGTCTCACATTGTTAATACACATTAGATCGACATGAGACTGTCGGACATATGAACAATTCTAAAAAACTTCGAAAAAAGTCAAATATTGAGAAGCTAAAGAAGTGAGCAAGAAAAAAAAACCGAAGATTCCAACATAAACCCACAATCTTTGGGACTTCGATCAAGAGCTTCTACAAAATCATTTGGGATTTCGTCATCTTGAATGTCTGCAACTGACTGAATCACTTCAGCGCGGACCGCAGTAACCTAAACATAAACGTAAAGAAATATGGCACCAAAGAATGCATGGGATGTGTTCAAACCTTATCAAGTTGCCGTTCAATTAAGATAGAATATAACTTCCGCTTTATAAATACAGGCATAGCTCTTTCTTCGATACCATTACCACCACCATCTCTCTTTGAGCAAAAATCCCACTAATGTGCAGATATTCTGGCGAACAGCAGCGTCCTCACAGCAAGATAACTGGAAAGAAATGTAGCCATTCTTTGAAGTAAAAATTAAAAGTGCGAGAAGTAAGGCCTACAGTCTCACAAAATTCCACTAAGCAATCCATGAATTCAGGGACGCCTTTTTTCCATTGATTTGCAGAGAATTTCGCTACGAATCGGAAAACTTTCCGCCGATTATCTAGCGATACTAAAGATTCCACCTGAAAATAAACGATCATCAAACCACAAGCTACGCAGAGCGCATGCAGCATATCATCACCTACCATAAACGAAAGCCTATATTGGAATTTTTCGAAAAATATTGACTTCAGCTTCTGCCTATTAACTGTTTCTTCTTCTACCTAAATTGACATGAACGGATGACAATATTAGAGTATAAAAGACGATTCCAGCTGAACGGACCTTATTGAAAGCAGCTAGCAGGATGTCTGAGGAATATTTACTCCCTGAAGCCTCACATATGGAATTATAGGCTGTTTCGAATGTGTCAGCAATCTTCTCCCTGCAAAAAATGGCTATAGAGTGTAGAAATGCTCCCATTGCGGTGAGCAAATTCTTTGCAAGTAACAATTTCTTGCGGCATCAAGCGTTCGACCTTTGATGTGTAGGAACATAGTATGTAGAAGTGACTTCATCATGAACTCCCCGACCCAATCTCGCCTCGGTCAACCAAGTCACTAATACTTTTTTAATTTGTGAACTGCTCAAGCCAGTTAGGAGCAGAAGACTGACTCGCACATCGACTGGATTCCGCAAATGGCAGTGTTGGCCAGGCCGCACTCATGTCACTACGACTATGACACGAAATAAATAGACAGAAAACGTGACGCACTTCAAAAAAAGAGTCCTCAACACCGAATGGATCTGATCTTTATGACTTCTACACTAACAAAAGTTCCAACCAGATGCGTTGATTAGCAACTCACTCCAAGTATGTGATAATGTTAGTCTCATCTGCTGCGATAGTGACACGAGCTCCCCTTTTCTTTGGTGTTACTGGAGGCTTTACCGAGGCAATACTGTCTGCAAGTGCGTGATAAGAACTAGAAAAGTTGAACTACAAAAAAGGATCCTCACCAGGTAGTTGTTAGTTTCACTCTGAAAGCCCAGCTCAGGAGACGCAGAACCTGAATCCCTCCTTTCTTCAGCTACTCGACTAGGCTTTCGGGGTTTCCTCCTCGCCATGTTGACGTTTTAGTAGCCGAAAAAATAAGGGTTGAATGTGTTAAACTGAAAAGAACATTTTATTCCCATGCTCATAGATATTCTAAATGGCAACACGATATCTGAGGGAGAAGAAAAAGTGTAAGCTGTTCAAAGCCAAAGGCATCCAAAACCACGAGAGATATATTCTTTTAATACACATTAACCCCAGAAAGAACAATACTCACCCAACTCCGTGTTT